TTCAATCGCCTCCAAAGAATGACGGTAAGTGCATTTTAAAAACACTATTATGTTATTATGTTTAACAGATTACGTTCTGAAACTTGTATACATCAGCAACTTCTTAAACGAGGTAAGCTATTAACATACATTTAATGAAATAAGAATATCATCTGTCTGGTTTATAGTCATTTCGTAAGTCATACGGTCCATACAGTGACATGGTAAAGAAATACAATATATCATTAAGTCAAATTAAGATTTTTCCGTTTTCCCTATAATGACACTGAACAATTTAAGGGATGTTCACTCCTCTAAGACATCTGATCTAACTTCTGATGTTTTGGAGGTCCGATTACTTTGATCTAACTTCCAATGTTTTGGAGGTCTGTATTGACTTTGATCTAACTTCCGATGTTTTGGAGGTCCGTATTTACTTTGATCTAACTTCCGATGTTTTGGAGGTCTGTATTGACTTTGATCTAACATCCGATGTTTTGGAGGTCCGTATTTACTTTGATCTAACTTTCGGTGTTTTGGAGGTCCGTATTTACTTTGCTCCCTGTATTTTTTATCGGACTTTGGGCTTAAAGCCAGACGACACATTCCTTCAAGTTTGCAAAAATGTCAAATAATCGGGAAAAATTATACATATTGTGAAGAACATGTTGTTTGATCTTTAACATATTTCATTATCGATATTATTTTAATGTAATTGTAAGGGATAGTGGGCAGAGAATTACATATTTTGATTTACATGGCAAAGGTTCAAGACTCATATAACAGGTTACACGAAAGACAACATATAATTATGAAGTATGCAGACCAAAGGTATTTTTTGTGAATAGAAAACAGCATTTATTTTTTCCTTTACATTCGCATTGCTTTCTTTTATGAGCTACCTTATATAGATATTTACTCTAGAAGAACGTCCGGTTTCCAAATTGAACCGTTCAAAAAGGGCTCAGAAAAAACACTTAGAACGCTCCCTGTTTTTCTATTACAGAGTGAAACAATAGTTAATGGTACATTCGAAGGGTTTTAGCATTAATTTCTAAGACAAAATATGCATTAAGACTCTAGAAGAACGTCCGGTTCCCAAATTGAACCGTTCAAAAAGGGCTCAAGAAAAAACACTTAGAACGCTCCCTGTTTTTTATTACAGAGTGAAACAATAGTTAATGGTACATTCGTAGGGTTTTAGCATTAATTCCTAAGACAAAATATGCATTAAGAGTTTTATTTAGAAGTCTTCTTTACGCAAGTGAAGTTCATTTAGTGTGTCTAAAGTTTTCTTAAAGTGGATGAAAAAAAGCTTCTTATTTGAAAATACATCTTTAATGGGTTTTTGATACTATCTGACAATTATAAAATAAAAATTTCTTTGTATTATTGCGTTTTCCCAATCATGAACAAAGACAGTCACGGGATGTGATGGATCGACAAGGAGGCGTACGTCTCCGTTGTTTCTGATCCCATCTCTGATTCTTTGATACTTTTGTGTTCGATCTACTCTAAATCAGTTTTGTTGCAAATCTTACAAGCCCGCAGTGTAATAATGTAAATATGATGAGACTTTTTAACAATACTCAGAGACGTAAGCGTAGTCATGGACATCGTTCGTACAATAAACCAGCAATACACGACCTCTCTTTTGATTCATTACTACCTTATGTAAATCAACAGTTAGGTCTACATCATATTCGAACCAAATTTTACTCTGTCCCTTTGAAACTTTTAAATAGTCTACTTAAAAAGATCAAGGAACATCCAAATTTAGATGCCTCGACACCTGAATATAGGCTCGGTTCTGTGATTATGGATATTGCACATAATAGGCTTTTTAAACCGGCACCTTTCACGGAAAAAATGCAGCTAAAAAATCCGTCTTTTCCTTAAACTTCAATATGCCGATAAAGGAATTGACGCAGTTAATATAAGTAATATTCTTAATCACAAAAGGGTCCAGTCTTGTATTCAACCATATTTCAAGTTAAAAGACTACGCCTTGTATTGCCTACAAATATACATCGATCACTACTTTTCAATTACAAAAATACTTTACATGGCCTGGATATCGACTATCTGAAAAATAATCCCCTTTTGTGTTCATATTCTTCTTCGCCCTATAACTATAGTGCTGCTGGACACGTTATTACAGGTGACGTAAAAATAGTTCGGAATGAGGACCTTAAATCACTTATTTTAAAAGGTCCTTAATATGCGGGAACCCCAATCCTTCAACTGGCGTCGGAATTACATAAATATTTTGGATTCTGTTGAAAATTACGCCAGACGATGGGCTAGATATGAAAAAGAAGACATAGACACCTTGTCAGAATGGATTAAATGTATCAGATTCATGTTAAAGTCACGTATTAAAAGATTGAGGGGCAAAATGAAAACCATCTATCCTTCTGCGTTCAATAAACCAGAAGTGAAAAAGAATTAGATAGATTGCACGATCAGTACGTACTGGTTCCTGCTAACAAAGCAGGTAACAACCTTGTCTTTGTTTGTAAGGCTCATTTTATAAATTGCATTCTAGAAGAACTTGGATTTAATTCTACAAGTGGTTATCCTACCTATACTCATACTTCCCTTTCTAAGGAAGAAATTCCTAAACATCAGTTTTGAATACTTTTAATATTCCAAAGAGCCAAAATGAATTTGAACTACCTTATATATATTGGATTCCGAAACTTCATAAGAGTCATTACAAACAAAGATATATTGGAGGTTCCAGTAAAAGTTCAACCAAGCCTCTTTCGTTACTTCTCACTAAAATATTAACAGTAATGAAGGAAAAACTTCAATAGTACTGTACAAATATAAATTAAAGAAGTGGTGTAAATCAGATGTGGATACTTAAAAATTCTAAAGAACTTTTGGACAATTTGAAATCACAAGACTTTACAAAAATCAACAGCATAAAAACTTACTACTTTTCAACTTTATACACAACAATTTCCCACGACAAATTAAAATCCATGCTTTTTGATATCATTGACAGCCGCTTCTTCAACAAAAATGGAACTCGTAAGCATAACCTCGTCATTGGTCATTTGAGAAATTATTTTCTTTAAAACAGATTCTGATTGCACACATAAGTACTCTGAAGCTGACATCAAGAAGATGCTTGAGTTTTTGATTGACAATATCTATGTGGTTTTTGGAGACCAGGTATTCAAACAATCTATTAGCATTCCCATGGGTACAAATTTCGCTCCGTTATTAGCAGACTTATTTTTATATTCATATGCAGCAGAACTTATGCAAAACCTTTTACGTGAAAAGAAGAAAACACTTGCTGTGGCCTTCTTCTCGACATTTAGATATATCGACGACGTATTGTCAATTAATAATGATAATTTCCATTCCTACGTCGACACGATATATCCTGGTGAGCTTGAGATAAAAGATACAACAGAGTCCGACACTTCTGCTTCATACTTGGATATTTTACTTGAAAAAGACACTAATGGTAATCTAACAACCAACCTATATGATAAACGTGATAACTTTAACTTTTCTATCGTCAACTTCCCTTGCTTATGCAGCAATATACCTTCATCACCTGCATACGGAGTATTTATTTCTCAGTTGATTCGATATGCAAGAGCATGCTCTACGTATGAACAATTTCTTAAACGAGGTAAATTATTGACAAGCAAGTTGATGAAACAAGAATATCAACAGTCTCGTTTAAAGTCATCATTTCGTAAATTCTATGGTCGATATAATGACATTGTCAGCAAATACAATTTATCATTGAATGAAATGCTGACTGACGTTTTTCATACCAATTGTTATTCCATTATTTATACACTGAATTGACCACGGATTTTTACCGTTATTTCCTGACTATGACAACGACCACACGGCGGGTGTGACCGGTCGGCAGGGGATGCTCACTCCTCCATGGCACCTGATCCCACCTCTGATGTTTCGGAGGTCCGTGATTGCTCTGCTCTTATTTTATATATTTGTTTAATGGACGTTGAGATTGAATACTCTTCGTATTTTTCATATCCTTCTTGCAATGCATTTTGAGATTGATTCCTTTTTATGGCACCAATTTCTTGGAATTTTCCCTACTGAATTTATCAAAAATTGTCTCCATGAGAAAAAAAAAAGATGTTGCCTTCAACCCAACATTTACATATATCGGCGACATGTTTTTAATCAACAATTGATTTCTTTTTCAATTCTACAATTCTGATGTCGATACGATATATCCCTTTGAGTTTGAAGTAAAAGATTCCACAAACTATGCCACATCTGTTTCATATTAGATATTTTACAACTTAAAGGTGTTACAGGTATCCTTACAAAAAAGTCAATGAACACCTTGATTTATGTGGCATATTCTCTTATCAACTGCATTAGGGGTTTATATTTTTCATTTCATATTATACGCAAGAGCATAATTTATCTATGGTCTATTTTTAAAACAGGTAAGTTTTTGACAGACAAGTTGGATATACAAGAAATAACAAGTCTTGCTTGAATTCATCATTTCGCAAGATCTATTACATGTTATTGTTTTGTATTGTTTTATGGACTTTGAGATTGAATACTGTTTTTTTATTTCCATATACTTCATTCTTCATATGTGGAGATACATACAATAAATAATACATCAGTGTTACATTTTGGTTTTTTTTTTCATAAATGCTTTAATATTGAATAAATTCTCAATAAATGATAGTAGCCCTAACACTCCTTCCTCTGTAAGAAAACAGAATCAATGAATGCACATTTCTACTGTTTTCTTCAATAGAGAAAATACACTCCAACAAAATGTGTATAATGCATGATTTCATGACAGATTTTATAATAGCTGTTACAATGTTAAAATGTTCAAATACAGATTATAAGGCTATCCTTGATAAAAATATCATTAGATTAGGTAAGGCATTTCTTTTTCGATCTTTACCAGCTATCGAACACACATAGTAGATAACAACTGCGTATAGGATAGGTTTATATCTTAGCTTGTCAGGTGATGTTGCAATCATGTGGTATTAGCAAATATATGCCTGTTGTATTGAGGACATCTCTAAATTTTAAGATTGCAGGTCCATTATAAAGGTAAAAAATTGTTTGTTTTCAGCATTTCCGTACTTATTTTTCAAATGCTGCAAACAAAGGTAAAATTGTTGTTGAAAATATTTAAAATCCAAGTATTAGATTTTTCTATAATTTTAGAATCAGTTAACATTTTGTGACATTATAATGCACTAAATGTCAGAATATTGTTACATTTTGTGTAAAGTAATGTGCCTAGTTACTGAAGTACGTTAGTGTGTTATTTCAATAACAGTATGCATGGTGTTTCAGATGGACAAAAAGATTACAACTTTTGTCAATAAACTGGAATCTTTCTGTGAATGCACCATATGCTTCAACACTTATGATGAAGATTCACACGTACCACGATTGTTGCCTTGCAATCATGCATTTTGCACTGACTGTCTTGTGAAACATTGTTCCAGCAAGAAATTAAATTGTCCTCTATGTAACCAAACGCATGGTATCTTAAATGAAGGCATTCTGGCTTTCCCAAAGGACAATATACGTCGTGAAATGAGAGATTTAGTTACTGATTTTGCCTCCAATGTGCTGTGCTCCGACTGTCGGACATATGATAGCAAAAGTCTTCTCTGCATAGACTGTAACATTAGAATTTGCAGTTTATGCTCTTCTGAGAGATTGAAAAATATATGTCAAGCTCACAAAATTGATGGCATCAGTGATTCTCCAGTACAATTGGATGATTTACCAGAAAAAAATATATCTTCACAAGTCTGCCTTTTGGATGGACATGAAAAAAGTCAGCTTATTTTTTACTGTACAAGCAAATCATGCTGCAAGCCTGTCTGTCTTATGTGCATATCTGAGCATCATAAAACTCATACTTTCAAAACTATTCATGATGTATACTTAATTCGGAAACACAATATGCAAAGAATTTGTCTTGAGACAAAGGAAAAACTAATAAAGGCTCGGAAAATATTGTCAAAAATTTGTAAAAAGCGTACAGCTTTGATGGCGTGGGACAGAAGAAGCAGGGAAAATTTAGAAGCTACCGTTAAAAAAGGAAATCTGTATCTAATTGAATGTGAGCGTAACGCAAAATGGAATATTTCGAAGAAATATTCAGCACAGTCCAAGTTTAACAAAACTCACAACGTACTTTTATATCAAAGAGAATTTCAAGATTTTAGATGGTTACACAATAAAATGCTCGCAAAAATTCATTTGGCATCAGTCGTAAAAGAAGAAATGTCTTTTCTACAAAAATATAAGAATCAAGAAATGTTGAAAAATTCTAATAACCTCAGAATCAGGTTAAGTTTTATCAATAGAGACCTATGTTTTCTCAGGAATTTCATTGATAATGCTTCACATTGTTGCTCGACTTCAGATCAAATATTAGCAACGCAAAATGAAGTTGATTTTTTGAATCAAGAAAATTCCCTTGCCTTACTGTTGATCAGTTTCACTGAGGTAGATATCGAACGACGTGTTGAAAAGCTATCACCTACTGAAGAACTTGGAATGAAAAGGGGATCTAAATATTTAGAATCTATGATTGATGAAATTATGAAACTGCCAGACTTTCTTCAGGGAGATACAGGTATTAATACTTTTACATTTCGTTCATTTTGTATGAAATTTCAAAATATTTTCCTTAAAGCACTAGCAACTTTCATATGTACAAAATAAGAATGTCAGTTTATTTCAGATCAGGCTTTCGTGTTATTTTTTATCTTTGATAAAGACCAAATCTTAGGATATATATAAAAAATAATCAATACAATTGTTTTTGATTTTACTTCAAAAAGACATTTATGTTAACATCTTCACTGTAAAAATGTGTTTTATTATTTAAAGCAAATGTTTTAACCAAAGCAATTTTTATACAACTTTAGACAAATAAAAAAAAATACCACAACTATTGATGGATTGATTGATTGTATATTGTTTAATGTCCCTCTTGAGAATATTTCACTCATTTGGAGACGTCAGCGTATGCCGGTCAAGGACCTCAAATTAAGACCTATACTCGGCACTCAGGGCCATTGAGCGGTGAGGGTTCTTTATCGTGCCAGCGCCTACCGTGGCACGGGACCACCTACGTTTTTAAGGTCACATCCGAAAGACCCGTTACTTTCACTTCTAATGCCAAGCGCTTTGCAAAGGAACAGTCACTACCTATTTTTTAGTCTTAGGTTTGACGCGGCGCCGGGAACGAGGATCGAACCCGGACCTCCTGATCACGAAGCGAACGCTCTAGGCTACCATGAACGTTCAACCATTGATGGATAGGATGACTCGTAGATAATGAAAGAATAAAAATTGAAAATAAAAAATACATCTATACATAAGCGGTTTTTAAGGACCAGGGCTTGTTTAAAAATTAAGATCAAAACATTAATTGTAAAACTTTATAAAACTGATGATTCTATTTGAAAAACGTACCCCGGGACGAAACTCGAAAGAAGCCACTAGGATAAAGATAGTGCTTTGTTTAATAATGTCTTTTGATGCAGCACTGTTGCAACCACTTTTGAATTACTATTCGAATAGTGGTTGCAACACATTCGATGCTGATACATTTTTGTTTTTTTGTTTTTTTTTTCAGATGAAGAAAACGTGTCCAAACATACTGGATTTACTGAACAGGATCTATTGCTAATCGTTGTCTGTGTAGGCGGTGTTGCATATTTTCTGAACATTTTGCGTCTTCTCCTATATTTATAGGATTAAAATATTACATGTGGACACTTACTTTTCAATGTGCATCTAAATTGAGATCAACTTTTAACAGCGAAAAATTACATTTTGGACATATTCTTTTGTCTTAATTTTTTTCTATTTTATGCGACTGGGTAAAAGCTTTAAAATAAAAGATATATGAAAAAATTAACAATATTTAGAGTCGAAAATCAACTATATCGATCACGTTATATAAATATATTTTTACAGTTCTTACATGTATAATAAACAGGGAAATGTTCTTCATTTCCAATTTGATGAAAAATAGAATGAAACTTTACAATTCGACAAAATAAATGTTTTATTAGCTAAAATGCGTTTATCTATAAGCAGTTTATACAATCATGTGTATGATAATAGTTAAGATTGTCTACTAGGTACTTTTTGAATGGCCTTCGTATATTCGTATATTTTGTTGGTCACCCCCGACCTTTCATTTGATAGGTCGCACCCTACCTTTTGGGATTCTTTTTTAAATTTTGTCCTTGTAAACAGGGATAAACATAGGTGATTTCAAAATCTGGTTTTCCCACCTGTAAGGTGACAAAAATTCAAGATACTGCCTTCTGATTGGTCGAAAGTTTGATGAAGTCATTGGCGCAAAATTTGAATCGTGATTTATATGCGCCCGCTCCACTATTGAGGTTTCTCCATTTCTCAAACAAAGCTTTTATAAATTTCAAATTTCAAATATTCTTGCATTCGATTAACCACACATTGGTTATAACGAATTCAACAAATCTGTAATAACAGATTAAATTCGTTATAACGAATTCAACAAATCTGTAATCACACATTAAATTCGTTATAACGAATTCAATGAATCTGCTATAACAAATTTGATTCGTTATAACGAATTCTTAAAGGCTGTTAAAACAAATTAAATTCGTTATAACGAATTCTAAAAATTTGTTATAACGAATTCAAAAATATTTTTGATAGATCCTAAATGGGCTTCCGTAATTTATAGATACAGATATCTTAGCAAATCAAAATCAAATTACATGTATGTAATCATTTGTGGACCAGTGTTATAGTTTCATAGTTGCAAGTTTGTTACATGACAATATTACTTATTCAGAACTCTTATTCTAAACAAGATTGTTAGAAAATTTTTAAAATGAAATTAGCTAGCAGCTATGACTTGGGGTCATTAAAATAGTGTAAAACTGATTTTTGTTCCGAAAAACTTTTGAGGTGTAATGTTGTATTAAATTATATATCTTACATTATTTATACATGTATTATAAAAAAAAATAATGAAAGAAAACATAAGAAAAATGCACAGAGAAAAAAAATTGTACATAAGAAACGCACTACATGAGAGAGTCGAACTCACGACCTTTATGACTTCAATCCAGCAATAATATCACTACACCACGAAGTCTTGCTAGTTTGAAAGATAAAATTAAGACAGATTGTTGAATCTTGAAACAATTTTAGAAGAATAATTAAATACATCTTGTCAACATTTTCGATATGAAGACCACCTTTAACCAAAATTATCTAAATGTGATGAAGTGCAGTCATATCCAAATAATTTTTTTCAGAAGTTGTTTATTTGGTTAAGGGTGGTCTTTAGCTACAGTTTCTCATTGTTTAAGGGGGTACCGCAGTTTTCACTATATTCTCCATATAAACTGAACGATTTTTATATATGTCATTTGAGGGTACTATTAATATCTAAATATTATTTTTATGTGATTTGCTTCAAGGCATGTATAAACTAACACTGTATGACAAAATTTTGGTTAAACAATGTATTTAAAAAATCACTACTAGAGTAGGCGAAAGTGACTATCAAATGCGCTATGGCTCTTTGTGCGTGAAAGGCGTGGCATCCCTTATTTAATAAGGTTTATTTACAGCGTATCACATTGATCGGAAGTTGTACCTTCAGTTTGCAAATAAGAAAGAAATTACAGGTGACTCTCAATCTCTCGAAGTTCAAGGGACAGCGAGAAATGTTCGAGAGATCAAAGGGTTCGAGAGTAAATGTGAAATTATAACGTCTGTACAATGCATTTTCTGAGATTGTAGTTGTTTATATATAGTTGTTAGTTTATACTATTCAGTTTAATAATGCATACAAAAATATAAGTTATTTCAAGACAGTTTAATGTTCACGAATTAATTTTTTGCAAACTTTCTAATTAAACCAATTAAAATACGAATTTGAAATTCTTCGATTTAATTTTTTCATAGCTATCAGAGGCTTATACATTTTATAATTTTACAATTTATATTTCTCATTTTTTTAAACTGCTCCCCCAGAAAAGTCTGCCTTTAAATGTCTGAAGTCCGCTGTTCGCTATGACGTTGCGTGCGATGTTGGTGACTTTTGACGTTACGCTTTCATAGCGTTACGGAAGAAATTAATGTAATGCGTCTAAAAGTGTATCTTTTTTGACTGGTACCCTATCGCTATCTCTTTGTACTTGAAATACGAGTTTAAAAAGTCATAAATTATTTATACTTAAACTCATGAACTTAAAGGACGCTTTTGATTTTTATTTACATGTATATGATAAATGTTGTTCATTTTTCGAAGCAATCTTAAACACATTTTCTCGATAACGTTGAAGCAGAACGAATTTTACGCGTCAAGAACGTCCACTGGACAAATATGTTGAACCTCTTAAATGTTGGGTAAAATATTAATTAATGGAGTAAATTTATTAATTTTATATTCAATCAAACCGAGTAGAGTAGCACATTATGAACATTGAATTATTTCTGTATCCGATGGGAAAAACAATATAATTTAACGACTCAAAACGGCATTGTCTTATTTTTGCACGTCCATTTAGACGCTGGACATTTTTATTGAACTTGTAGTCCAGTTTCTAGCTCTAAAGGATGCAGTTTGATATCAACATGAATGAAATATATGTGAGAAAAGCACATTATTTTGATATAATTTGTTTCTATTTAAATTTTCTTGTAAATGAGAAAATGTATTGTCCATATTCATATGCACGTTTTTAATTAAAAGCGTTACATATTTTTCTGTAAAAACTATCGTATTCTATTCCTTGCCAACATTTAATGCAAAATCGTTTGTAAATTTACAAACGACATGGATTGTTCTTGTTTTGTGAGGAAAATGAAAAATCTGGATTCATATTTTAACACATTTTTATAAAAATGCTCGATCCCTGCTAAAAAATGTTTTGAAATTCTACTTTTTGCATAATATTTAGTAAAACGATATTTTGTTACAAGAATCGGGTAGTTCTATGAAAAAATCTATCCAATCATACCAAAGTTATCTGTATTGTGAGTATGTTTTTAAAATCGCCGATGGGTTTAATAGGTCGAATTCTAAAATAGTAAAATGGCACCAACAGTGCGCGTAACGTCTGTACGCTAATTTGCAAAAGTCCATTACTTCATGTCAGTGTATTTTACATGATATGTTAACCTCTGGTCCCCTTCTTGATGTAAAATATAAGGTGACCTCCGGTGTAAAGACGAATAATGACCCCCATCGAATAATGACCGGGGGTCATTTTTCGGTGTCGAAAAATGACCCCCGGTCATTATACGACGTAGAAAAATGACACTTTTGCCCGTAGAAAAAGTACCACTTCCCTAAAATTTGCAGAACCCACGTGAAGAAAAATGACCCCCGTAGAAAAATGACCCCCCTGTAGATTAAAGCTAAAATTTTTAGGGGGCAAAAAAAAATGGATAAAGAAGCTTATTGACCAAAATGCGCACCTGAGCTTATTGGGAATAAACTGATATGTTGATCTCATAACATTATACAATCATACCTATATTTTAAGGTAAATGCAATGATTAAGAATCTGAAAGGAGTAAAAGCCTTAAGGGTTAGGTAAACATTGTTTTTTGATGATGGAATTCATCGAACTGACTGAAAAAAATCATCAGAATTATATATTATTATATCCTCCGCTTGAAAAGCGGGAGGGCATATAGTGATTGGGATGTCCGTCCGTCCCTCCGTCTGTTACGCTTTGAGGTATCCATCTCTTATCCGCAAATCCTCATATATAAAAATATGTGTTTGTGAAACAGCTATGCTCCTGTATGGCAACATAGCAAAGATTAAACTTTTCTTAAATGCAATATAAATATATTGTTACCCAAATTAGGGTTTTCTCACAAGAAATACAACTGCAAAATAGGAAAGCCGTAGCACCATTTGTTCAAAAGTAATGGCTAAGGATAAGATTTGAAAGGTAGGTCAAACTCAAAGATCAAAGTTGATGATTTCTTTAGTGCAGTATGAATACCTTAGCACTTACCATTCAGGAGTTATGACCAAGGTAAAAAAAATTCATAAGTACGGAAAACTTCAATGTCAAGGTTTTTAGTATCCAATGAAAGGTAATACCAAAAAACTACATATTTGAAGTATGAGAGAACTTGTATCTACCGTTTAAAAGTTACATGCCAAAGTAAAAATTTTTGTGTAAAATGGGACAAACTCTAAGGTAAAGGTAAAAAGGTCAAATTTGGTGGTACCCAAAGTAAGGGCTTGTCACATGTAATAAACATATTTGATATGAAAGTCATAGCTCCAATAAATGAAAAGTTATGGTAAAAGTTAAGGTTTTTGCGGACAAACAAACCGCCAGATAGACAGACGGTCATACAGACGAACACGATAAAACTATATACCCCCGAATCTTCGATTACGGGGACATAAAAATAAATGGTCTTCAATTAACTTTTCATATTAATATAAATTATAAAGAATACGTTACAGCAATGAAAATATTTGCTCTGATTTTCATATTAAATTCTCTGAAAAATATACTCAGAACTGAGTAAAAGGTGGTGTAAAACAAGGATTAAGGCACAACCTATGTCGGAAAATTCATTGTCACAAGATTTTCAAACTTTTCAAAATGATAAATTAGTACTTGCTTATCAATCAGTTAAGATATCATGATACGTTTCCTTGTTTTTTAATCTAGAACAGGCTGTTAAACTTGGTATGGTATTTACATACTGTGACTTCACATTTTCAAATATTTTTAGGGGTACTTGTCATAAATGGAATATTAAAAAATCAC